TTTAAAAATACGGTTTTAAAACCCCCCCCAGACAATGCCGTACACTCCCCCCAATGTTTCCTAAAAAAAATCGTTTGGTTTTTTCCATCTATGCCTGGGGTTTTTTTACCCCCGGGGCCCCAACCCCAAAAAACCCGCCTCCTCCACCTCCTTTCCCACATTATTACTTTCCCTCGATTCTGTAACTGTCCTGCCCTCCTTAAAACCTTTTAAACCCCCTTTATCCCCCAAACCGTCCTTTACCCCCTCCCCCCCCCCAAACCCCCCTTCCCCTTCTCCCTAAAACCAAAAAAATGCTTAAAAAAAATAAAATTTTCAGTGGGGGAAAGGGCCTTTACCCCCCCCCAAAGCCCCCCCCCCTGTACCTGCCTCAATATAAAGCCCCAGGTGGGGGCTTCCCCCCCCTGCCGTTCCTTAAAAACCCCCTTAATACAAAACCCGATGGCCTATCTCCCCCTTTGGGCATCCTTTCCCAAAAAACCCGCCCCAACGAAAATTTCCTCAATTTTTCTTTTTGAATTTCCGACCAACTATTTCGCAATACGTTCCATGTTTCCCCCAAATCCGCCCCCCAGTTCCCCTTTCATTTAAAAAAATCTTTTTTGCCCCCCAAGATAATTTTTTAGGGGCCCTAAAATCCCCCCTAGCCATCTCCTTACCCCGTACTTTTAAAAAAAATTTCCCCAAATTTTAAAATTTAACCCTCCCTTTCCCCCCAATCCGCAAATCCCTTTCCATATTCCTGTCTCCCAAAAGGATTTTCCCCAATCTTCAAAAACCCCTAGGGTCCCCCCCTTCCCTAAGTTGCCCCACTTTAATTTTCCAAAAAATCCTGCATAAAATTCACTTTTGCCATCACCTCAAAACTGCTATAAAAGCACGTGAAACAGAAAAAAACCCAATCGATAGGTTTCCCCCACCTCTCCCCACCTATGCCCTGGCTAACATAAATCCCATCTAAACCCGGGGGTATATCCCCCAGAATTTAAAAATTTTTGCTCCCTTTCCAAAACCCTAAATTCCCCCCAAATTACCACTCCCCAAAAATCTCGCAAAACCCTCCCGCAGAAAAACCCCCCAAAAAAAAACCAACCCCCCCCCCTCGGTAAAAAACATCACCTTCCTAATGAAATTTCCCAATTTCCCCCCCAATCACCCTAAAAGAAAGGGAAACCTCTCAAGTGATATACCGGGCCTGGGTACAAAATCCCCCTTCACTTAGTGTTACTAGTTGCTGGCAAGTACCACCTACAAAAAATAAACCCCCCTGGCCCCCCAAAAACCCCTTTCCCCCCTGCAACCCCCCCCACCCCCCCCCTCCCCCCAAAAACCCGGATAAGCAAAGGGGCTGGTTTTCCTTTAACCCCCACAGCCACACCCCCCTTTCAACCCCAAAAACTTTACATGTAAAAAACCTTTTTAAACCCCTTTTAACAACCCAAATTTACATCCCAAAACCCATGGTTATGTTCCCCGGAAAAAACAGCCCTCAATACTAAATCCCCCTCAAAACCCACTCCCCCCATACCCTTTGACCTCGGTTTTTAAAGGTTTACGGAAAGTTACACCCCCTGAATTTTACAAGAAAAGGCGGCTTACCCCTGTGCCGCTGAGGCTTACTTGGTCCTCCTTTTATAGGTTTTCGGTTTTCTCATCAATCCCTTGTTCCTGCCCCCAAAACCCCCCCCCTGTCCCTTCCCCAAACCCAGCTTCCCATTGCCCCCCCCCGCCCCCTGACTTTGGGCCCTTTTCTACCACAGCTGCCCACATTTATTTTCCCCGGCCTTTCCTGGTGTTTTGGGGCCCCGTCCATGGGCTTTATGCCCCGGGATTTTCTTGGGGGGGCTAACCCCCTTTCCCTAAAATTTCTTCTGCCCAACCCCCCATCCCTTTTTGATGGGCCTCCCCACACCACATTGGGTCTCCCTTTTTAACCTCATTAAAATATTCCTTACCCCGCTTCCCCCGTATTTCCCTCCCTTGTCATCACCCGAAACCCCACAGCACTTTCCCCACCCCTGTCCGGGCTCTTTCCAAAAAAACCTTCCCGGGACGCCTCCCAAAATCCCCTCCCGAAACTGGGCTCGGGATTATCTAACGCCCCTGTCTGACAGCGTTTTTCCCCCCCCCCCGTTTCCCTTTGGTTGGATAAACACCGCTCCAAAAAACCAAACCCCTTCCCCCCGTCGGGCCCCCTCACTTTCCCTAGGCCTGTACCCCGGGTTTTAAATTCCCCGTCATAAAAAACCGTGGTTTAATGGGGTATCCACAGAAGCTGGGCTCCAGACGCCCTAAGGGCCCCCCGTCTCCTGGGGGATTGTGGGCCCCCATGTGCTATAAAGGGGTCACCCTAAAACGGCAGTTTCCTTTTGCCCCCCCTAGTGTACAAAAAACCCGTGGGTTTTAAGGTTATGCAATGTAACATTTTGATGGTATCGGTCTCCCCAAAAGGGGCATTTTCAGTTGTGAAAGGGATCCTTCCCGGGATCCCCTCATAAGGGCCCTCCCTCCACAATTCCCCTGCTGTCAGAGTGTACAGTTCCTAACCACTGAAAACATCTTGTTGGCTGTTTGCTGTTGCCTTTTAAAGGTACATTCCTTACCTTCACCAAATTTAAATTTCTTAGAACAACATGCAAGATATTTTCCCCTTTCCCAAATTTAATCATCCGTCGTTTTTGAAAAAACATCTACGAAAGGGAAAAGTAGAAAATCAGCCCTCATGAACTTTTACGAAGGGCCCCTTGGAAAATTTTCCCTTTTAGTTTCCCACACCCTTTAGCTCTTAATTTTGGGGTTTCCCAAAAAAGTCCCCGTAATCTTTTTGGGGGAGGGAAAGTTCATTGTTGTCGTTGCTTAAAGTTTCCTCCCCAAACCCGTGAATGAGACAGTATTTATGCGCCGGTCCCGTCGGTCCCCGCCAAACTTGGGTGCTAATTTCTTTGTTTTTCCCCCAGGTGGCGTGCAAGGAAAAAGTAGAAGGTCCCCTCTCCCGAGGTCGAGGGGACGAATGTGTCAGATTGTTATTGGGCCCGCGTTTATACATAAAAATTCCAATTGGGAAAATTTTCTGTCCAAAAAACTTGAATATGTTTTTCTGATGGGGTTCAAGTGTGTCAAGACTTTCGAATCGAAATTAGTTTAAGTCGCCCATGATTTTGGGGGTGTGTAACTGTCCCGCGTGGAAATTTTTTTAAAATAAATGAGTATTGTTTCTATGCGATTAAATTTAAAAATTTCCCCCTTAAAATTATAAAAATTTTTGCTATGGTTTTATTTACTAAAATAAAGGTTTTGGGTTTTCCCCAATTGGGTCCGAAATCGTAAAAGACACGATTTGCAAAAAAACCCCTACCACGGGCGGGATTTTGGGAACCCCCGGGCAGAGTCTCCAAAAATCCAGGCCGTTTGCGTTAGCCACTGGACCAAACTTAAACCAATAAGATTTTGTTTCCCCTTTGGGGATATTTTACACCAGGTGTTTTGGATAGGCCCCCCACCCCGTGAACCCCAAATGCAAGGTTTTTTTCAGCGAAAATTTCCCGGCCCAGCGTGGCCCTTTACGAAAATTTTAGATAAGTCCCCCTCACTGCTGTCAAAAATGGAAATCCAGTGGCTAACGCGATGGTCGGGGGTTTTGGATCCCTCTGACCGCGGGTTTTTAAATCCGCCCCTGGAAAGGTTTTTGGAATTTTTATTTGGTCATGGAGGTGTCAATTTTACAAAAAAAAAAATAATATTTTCCTGTTCCTATATAATTTAAAGGACCCTTTTTCAACATTTGGTTATCTTTATTCTGGGAAAGTTTCCCCCACCCAGTGGTTCCTTCAGTTTCCAAAATTTAAGGGGACAGAGGAGGAGTTTGAGGTAATGGGCCTACGCCCGGGTCTGTGTTCAGTCCATTAAAACTTGGCCAAAAATGCGGCATAAATTTGCGGAGATGGAATTAAAAACGTATTTTCTTTAAACAGATGAGGTGGAGCGTGGTAGGGGGAGTCAAAAGTGGACAAAAAACCCCTAGTGGAAGTACAGTAGGTCGTACCTATAGGTTTGAAAACGTTTGGGAAAAAAATCCCCGCTTCCCAAACTCCCAAAAATGTTGCTGTTGGGCATGATGTTAATAAACAGGTTTTTAAAGCCAAAAAAAATTGGGTTTTAAATTTAAATTTGGGCGGAAAGAGCCAATGGGTGGCCCAAAGTTTTTAAATTTAAAAATACCCAAATTTTTGCAAAGTGTTTATTTTAAAAAACGTGTCGATTTTTTAAACCCTTTGTTTATATCCCATTAAACGGAATTTTTGGGGGGTATAAAGACAAAACGCTAAAAACCAAAAGACATTTTTCCTCTTAAAACAGCAGGTATCCCTTTTTCACAAATTTTCCCTTTAGTTATTTTTAATTTTTAATTTTTTTCAACCCCGCAACACTTACAAAAAATAAGGGTTTTTTTTGGCTTTTAATTGTTTTAGTTTTTAAATACCTATGCTCTTGCACCAAACCCCGGCCCCTGCTTTAAATTAGACAGTTTATTTTGGGTTTTTTGTGAAATGCCCGGAAAAACCCAACCTCCCTCTAGTGTATCAGTTTCCTGACTAGAAAAGCCACACACTATCGACCTATCAAATCTTATAAATATTTTATACGTCGTTATTATTGTACAACATTATTTCAATGTTTTGTAGTTTCCAGATAACCATATCACGAAGAACTCCATCGACAGCTTTCATGAGTGCTAAGTTGATGTATTCTGCCCGTCCATTTTTGTCGTAGCTAATTTGTGACTCGTACTAGATTAATAAATTTGATGTACAGAAATGTGTTGACTATTATAATTATAATCATAATTGAGCGCTAAACCCACAAGGGTCACAGCGCCCATGTGTTGATTGAAAACCGAACCGTTGGCTATTTATCATTATTTTACTCTCCATGTGTGTTTTCCATTGTTTTTCTGATGACTTATTCTAAAATTTACATAACACTTGCCAACGAGACACACCTGTTGTTTAGAGGGGCTTGTGTGTCATGTTTTGTTTGTATTAAATAAGTAGACAGTTTTATGCTTAATGGACGTTAAAATTCAGTATTATTCAGCCTTACATTAATACACTTGATTTTATCCGCTTTTATTGTTGGGCTTCGTTACTAATTTTTGAGACACTTAATAATGCAAATAGTTGCAAAGAACAAAGAAAAACAAGCTATTTTACAGGCAAATTTCTTGGTTAATTTATTTATGATGAACTGTTGGTCAAACATTACTTTTGTGAAAAATTTTAAACATTGTCCATCAAGAATGACGTCCGTTGATGACGCTTGTTGTGGTCGTTCGTATCGCAGGTGTCTTTCAGGTGTTCGTCCAGCCATCTTTCATTTCTCTACTTGCCATAACTGAAAAATCCGTCATGTTGTAAATATTAGTTATTGTGACCACATATATATATATATATATAATATATATATATATATATATATATATAATATATATATAAATATATATATATATATATATATATATAATATATATATATATATATATATATATATATATATATATATATATATATATATATATGTCGTGCCGAATATGAAAAACTGGTCAATTAGCAAGAACTCATTTAAAATTAATTCCTTTATGAAATTTTCTCTTATACGTTTAAAGATATATTTTTTTCATTAATGTTAATGTAAAAATTTTTAATTTTGCACCAAAAGAATCTTAGAAAACTTACCTAACCTTATTTTGAGAAGAACAATTTATTTTAGCCTAACCCCACTAAATATATTTTAAATACGTTTACAATAATTTAATACTAAACAAACACAATGAAATATATTTTTTTCGTTATGTTTAGAATGATTTTGGTGAAATTATTGCATACACAAATTTTCACTTGTCCTAATATGGCAAGATGAGCGTTGCTATTCAAGCCAAGATCGCAAGTTCTGCCTATTCGGCACGACATTTTATATATATATATATATATATATAAAATATATATATATATATATATATATATATATATAATATATAATATATATATATATTAGTAGTCCGTCCCTCAGCCAGGCTGAGGGACCGACCACCTCAAATAATATTTCTCCGAGGTTGATAGAATCATTACATCTTCATTTCACTCTTACACCTGCTGTCTCTGTACTAGACTAATGAAGCCTACTGTGCAGGGAAAGCGTTTCAACAATAGATACCCAACTGTTGCACATGTGTCGTGCTCATAGGTGATGTAATCTCGTTCTTCATGAATGACATCTTTTTTTTTTTCTTCTTGTACGCCAGTACTCTCCCGGCCCGGGTCTTTTCCAAGTAGTGGTGACCCGGCCTTGGCTCCCTATCTGGGGAGTATCTCGAGACCTAAGACATCTTATTTAAGCCATTCCAAATTATAGAATGAGCAAGTTTTTCTTGTAACCCTTAGCAATAATTATGGAATCCTTTACATTTTTTTTCTTTTGGTCAAATACAAACGATGTTCCATTAAGAATTTAACTCGTCTTTTAACTTACCTGCCATGTCCACGACCTCTGCCACCATGTCCGAATCCACCACCACCATGTCCGAATCCACCACCACCGAATCCACCACCACCGAAACCACCACCGAAACCACCGCCATATCTGCCACCACCTATTCCACGGCCGTGGCTGGGCTCAGCCTCGGGCTCCGCGTCAGCCATGGCTCCACACACCGCAGCCATAACGACCACAAAAATCACCTGAGAAGGGAAGACACACATAAGGAGGAAGAGGTCATAGGTCATACGTCTTAATTTAACAGAGTGCTGTTGATAATGCCATTCTTCAGTTGTATATTTTATTTTGATTCGTCGAAGTATTCGTAGCAACTCAGACTTGTGAATCAGAGTTTCCCACAAGTAAAATATTAGATGAACAGGCGCCATCACAGAAACTTTTAAAATATATAGGTAAAAAAATCTGAATTCTTAGTTTTAAATTTATGCTCTAACACTAGTACCAGCACTAACACTGGTACTAGCACTAACACTGGTACCAGCACTAACACTGGTACTAGCACTAACACTGGTACCAGCACTAACACTAGTACCAGCACTAACACTGGTACCAGCACTAGCACTAGTACTGGTACTAGCACTAACACTAGTAATAACACTAACACTGGTACCAGTACTAACACTAGTACTAGCACTAACACTGGTACCAGCACTAGCACTAGTACCAGCACTAACACTGGTACCAGCACTAACACTGGTACTAGCACTAACACTGGTACCAGCACTAACACTAGTACCAGCACTAACACTGGTACTAGCACTAACACTGGTACTAGCACTAACACTAGTACTGGTACTAGCACTAACACTAGTAATAACATTAACACTGGTACCAGCAATAACACTGGTACCAGCAATAACACTGGTACCAGCACTAACACTGGTACCAGCACTAACTGATACTAGCACTAACTGGTACTAGCACTAATACTGGTACCAGTACTAACGCTAGTACCTGCGCTAACACTAATACCAGCACTAACACTAGTACCAGCACCAACTCTGGTACCAGCACCAACACCAGCACTAGTACTAGTACCAGCACCAACATTAATGCTAGCACTAACACTAGTACTAACACTAGTACAGCACTAACACTAGTACCAGCACCAACATTAATGCTAGCACTAACACTAGTACAGCACTAACACTAGTACCAGCACCAACATTAATGCTAGCACTAACACTAGTACTAACACTAGTACCAGCACCAACACTAATGTTAGCATTAGTGCTAATACCAACACCAACACTATTGTCATTACCAACATTAGTATTATTGCACCAGCACTGGTACCCTACCAGTACTGACACTAGTACCAAAAACAACACTTGCACCAGAACTGGGGCCAGCCCTACCAATATCCACTCCAACACTGGTACCAGCACTAACAACCACTCCAACACTGGTAATCACTAGCATCCACACCAACACTAGCACTAACAACCACACCAACACTGGTACCAGCACTAGCAGCCACACCAACTTTGACACCAACATTAACAACCACACCAACATTGACACCAGCACTATACCAGCACCAGCACAGGTATCAGTACCATTAATAGTAACTAAAGCAACACCAGCATCATCACGGTTGGTACTGGTGCACTGTTGGTACACCATAACCAACAATTGCATCAGCATCAATACCAAAGCAACGGCACTAATACTAGCTCCATCATTAGTAGTGTTTACATTAACACTGGCGCCAATACGACAGCTGATACGGTATTATACATTAACAATGACACCATTACTAGTGCCACCACCAACACACGTCAGCACTAGCACAAACACTGGCACCTACAGCAGTAACAGTGCCAACACCAACAACAGTAAAAGGAGTACTTACCAGGGCTTTGAGATAGTTCATGGTGACTGCAGTTGACTTTCCTCGGTGTCAGTTCCAGCAACTGATGCTTGTCTGCGTCTCCCTTCAATATTTATATCCAGTTGCTTGCTCTGTCACGTTACCCTCCTCTATGCGCCGTCGTTATATTGCCAGGTAACTATCGCTACCATTGCTACCGGTTGGGATCCTCTCCAAGATACGATACTACGTGCCGCAAAATGCCCTTCTCACACTATACCACTCACTTATTTATCCATACCTCACCTATGCTATTTGTGCTTGGGGATCAACTGCAGCAACACACCTAAAGCCAATAATAACCCAACAAAAAGCTGCAGTAAGAATAATCACTAAATCCCATCCCTGGCAGCACACCCCCCCACTCTTCAAAGATCTAAACTTACTCCCAGTTCAGTACATTCACACTTACTACTGTGCAATCTATATCTACAGGGCCTTAAACTCTAATATCAACCTTGACCTAAAACGCTTTCTTGATAGTTGTGACAGAACCCACAGGCATAACACCAGACACAAACATCTCTACGACATTCCCCGTGTCCGACTAAACCTTTACAAAAATTCATGTATGTCAAAGGCCCTAAAATCTGGAATACCCTACCTGAGAACTCTAGAACTGCAGACACATTCATCACCTTCAAAATTACCATTAGAAAACATCTTATCTCCCTGATACACCCTGTCAACTAACTACACGAATACCACCTGGTGGTTCACACTTACACTCGCTCACTCATTTGACCATAAACAGAAATATTAATCTCAGTCTTAAAATATTGAATCCTGTGATACTCCAATACTGAAACTATATACTGTGCCAAAACAAAAGCATTCACATTGCTAAACTCATAAACTAGTATTTAGTCACTTAGCCATAATACCAACTTACCTCATAATTTGTAATATTTTACAATTAAGAATAAAACTAAGTATGCCCGAAATGCCTAGCCATGCTAAGCGTTCTAGTGGTACACTCTGTAATCACAATTTTACTACATGTAAACCAAACAATAACCAAATTTCTGTAAACTCAGCATTGTAATCCTTATAGAGAATAAACTTTGAATTTGAATTTGAATTTGAATTTCTGACCTGAAGAACGCATTTGGTGAAATTCAACATGCACATACTCGGTACAGCAATTAACTGGTGTCTTGTGTTTTCTGAGGTAGTTGCACTGTACAGGAAAATATGGAGATACTTCGTAACTCAGGCTGTTGTATATATAGAGGACATCAGATAATACTTCCTTCATGAGGTTGGGAATCCTGCTGTAGTACTGAGATCATTCACTGTTTGGTTGACCTTTGGGTATTTTTGTTTATTCAAACCTCATTTCCGCTCCACCTATGTTATTTAAGTACAGATGGGTGCCTTGTTGCTAGTCAGCGGCTCTTTATTCAAGGATATTAAGCTACCCTCGTCTTCCTAATAATAATAATATATAATAATAATAATAATATAATATATAATAAAAATAATAATGTGTTCAATCCGTTGCGTGTAATGCTGCTCTGTGTTTTGAAGAGAGAAATATACCCTGAGATAAACATCAGCTACAGAAACAACAGTGAAAAGCCTTGGTGTCAGTAACAGTAGCAATGGATGTAGACGCAAAGAAACAGCAACATGAGTAGTGGCAACAACAGGGGCAATAACAGCCAGGGAAACATCAATAACGGAAAAGCAGCAGAGAAAATGAACAACAGCAACACCAGCAGAGAAAAACTGTAGGAGCCGAAGCAGAGGTCAGAAAATAGAACATCAGCAGTTGAAATAGCATCAACTGAAGTAACAGTAATAATAGCATTTGAAACAACAGTAATAAAGCAGCAGCAACAGAAATAGCAGGAACATAAGCAAAGCAGCAGCAGCAGAACATCAGAAGTAAGCGCAGCGGTAAAGCATCAGCAACAAAATCAGCTGGTGGTAGTAAGATAAGATTTCGTTCGGATTTTTAACCCCGCAGGGTTAGCCACCCAGGATAACTCAAGAAAGGCAGTGTGTCATCGAGGACTGTCTTATTTCCATTAGGACCCTCAATCTTTTTCCCCAGGGTGCGACCCACACCAGTAGACTAATACCCAGGTATCTACTTGCTGCTAGGTGAACAGAACAGGTGTAAGGAAAAGCGTCGAAATGTTTCCATCCTGCCAGGAATCGAATCCGGGCCCTCCGCGTGTGAAGCGAGAATTTTGCCAGCCAGGAGCACCAACTTCAAAAACAGCACCAGTGATAGCAGGAAGAGTAGAAAAAGCAGCAGCAATATTATCAAGAGTGCGCTTCTGCTGTGGAAGCTGCGTCACAGGTGAAAAAAAAGTCACAGCTGTGACTTGACAACAGTCCAGACAGAGAGGACCATCATTGTCTCCTTGACTGAGTGCGGATCATTTGTGATTCGTTCCAGCCACGGCATATAAATGAAAATGAAATAATTTTTTTTGTTTGCAGCGGCTAGGCTGAATTGAACCTAGGAAAAGTTGGTTGAAGCTCTGCTGCCGCCGTATTGCATTCAAAGTACTTGTGAACACATTTACAGAATGGATAATTCTGCTAACATTTGATCACCTGTCTTGTTTATCCTAGCTTCCTCCTTCAAGGGAACCTGATGGCAGTTAAGAGACTCCTGATCCTAGTGTATTGGAGCTACCCTTTATCTTGCTCTAATCGAATCTGATTGCCTTTCATTTTACAGGTGCTGTATTGCCTTTTGCAGGTTTAACGCTTCTGCATGGAATAATAATCATAATATAATAATAATTGCCAGACTGATATATTAATTCACAATATTATTCCTCTTCACATATAACATGTATATTTTCCTATAATTTGTTTTTTAGTTACTGAAAGTTATTTTTACATTTGTCAACAGTATGGGCCGTTGCCTATAATGTGAATCTGGGTGTATGTGATGGCGTACTTACTTAGCTGTGTGTGTTAGGGCCGAGACTGCTCCTAACCCCTTACATTCACCCCACATACTTTATCTGCCTTGATATTTATTTGACTCTGGTCTCGGGACATATCGTTACTATCACAATGATAATAAAATAAACATAATGTGCATGTGGCTCTCATTTGCGTCTGTTTCCACCTGTGGCCATTGTCCATATTATCCCCAACTTGAACAGTTGGTCGATTTTTACAGTCAGATCCTCTTATAATTTTATACACTTTTGTCATTCTTGCAACACACGACATGCAACACAACCCGACGGCACGTCAAAAAAAACAGTCAACCCCAGTACTTTAGCTGCGAGCTGATAAGCTTGTGTGGTTTTATTCCGTTGGGCCGTTTGAGAGGTAAGTCAGTTCTTTTAAACGCCTGGCAAACCTTTGGACCTTTTGCGTTTTAGTTTTAAGTGTATATTCTAGGGGACCTTGTAGTGTCTTGGAGGATTCTTTGTCTAAAGTCCTGATTGTTCTGAGATTTGCGAGTCTCCGGGGCATATGTGCTGCCAGGGTTACATAGTTTGTGTTCGTCTAGCGATCTGTTTGCTGTGATGCTGACTATAGCTTTTTTTTTTCTCCTGTTACTGGCAGGTTCAACTTCACCCCAAGACTGTACACAGTAAAATCTACTTTGCAGCATTTTTAACAATCTTTAATTAGTTTGGGTTGACCTTCGATAACTACTTGTTTGAATCCCACCTTTAAGAACCATCCAAGTGACCCAGGAGCTGGCACCTATCTTCTGAGGTTAGAATAAATAATTTTTGAGAAAAATTGTGTATGTATGGCAATTGTCGCGGACAAGCGATACAAGATGCAAAACCACAGGGGGAGTTGAATAACTCTAGGGCCTAGAGTTATTCAACTCCCCCTAGAGTCTAGGCCTTTCGTGTTGCAGCAAAGACTTTCCAGGTGTTTGCAGTGTTGCAGAAAGAAGAGAGTCTGGGCAGGTGCGTCCACCCCGGTGTATATATATAAGAACATAAGAAAGAAGGAACACTGCAACAGGCCTACTGACCCATGCAGAGCAGGCCCATGTCCCCCCCGGATTAGACCAATGACCCCCCCCGGATTAGCCCAATGGCCCACCCAGTCTGATCATCTCCACTCAAGGATGGAGCACTGCACCAGACCCAGCAGCACAAGCTAGTCAGGTCCAACTCACACCCACCCACACCCACTCATGTATTTATCTAACCTATTTTTAAAACTATACAACGTTTTAGCCTGAATAACTGTACTCGGGAGTTTGTTCCACTCATCCCCAACTCAATTACCAAACCAGTGCTTTCCTATATCCTTTCTGAATCTGAATTTTTCCAACTTGAAACCATTGATGCGAGTCCTGTCTTGGCTGGAAATTTTCAAAACGCTATTTACATCCCCTTTATTTATTCCTGTTTTCCATTTATACACCTCGTTCATATCTCCCCTAATTCTACGCCTTTCGAGAGAGTGCAGATTCAGGGCCCTCAGTTTATCCTCATAGGGAAGATTTCTGATACATGGGATCATCTTTGTCATCCTCCTCTGTACGTTTTCCAGAGCATTTATATCCATTCTGTAATACGGTGACCAGAACTGAGCAGCATAGTCTGAATGAGGCCTAACCAAGGATATATGGAGTTGAAAAATAACCTGAAGACTTCTATTATTTATACTTCTAGATATGAAGCCAAGAATTCTGTTAGCTTTATTGCGAACACTAATGCACTGTTGTCTTGGTTTTAGATTACTGCTAACCAGAACTCCTAAATCCTTTTCGCAATCAGTAGTATTAAGATCTACAATGTTTAGTTTGTATGCGGCATGGTTATTTACCTGTCCAACATTTAGAACTTTGCATTTGTCAATATTAAACTGCATCTGCCACTTCTCCGACCATTGCATCAGTCTATTCAAATCATCCTGGAGTGCTCTAGTGCCCTCATTAGAAAGAATTGGACGGCCTATTTTTGCTTATGTCGCTATTTATTCCCTCATCTATGTCGTTTATGTAAATTGTTAACAACAACCGGCCCAACACTAACCCCTGAGGAACACCACTAGTGACGTGCCCCCATTCTGATTTCTCCCCATTTATGCAAACTCTCTGCTGTCTATTTGTCAGCCATGCCTCTACCCAGGAAAAAATTTCTCCTCCTATTCCGTGTGCCTTAAGTTTCCTCAACAGCCTCTGATGTGGAACTCTATCGAAACCCTTACTGAAGTCCATATACACAATATCATATTCATTACCATGATCTACCTCCTCAAACACCTTAGTGAAAAAAGTTAGTAAATTCGTAAGACAGGAACGCCCCTTTGTAAAACCGTGTTGAGATTCTTTAATCAATCTGTGCCTGTCAAGATGGCTACGAATTGCTTCGGCAATTATTGATTCCATAAATTTTCCCACTATGGAGGTAAGGCTTATTGGTCTATAGTTCGAAGCCAAGGACCTGTCACCTGCCTTGTAAATAGGTATTACATTTGCCATTTTCCACTTATCAGGCACTATGCCACTTTGTAGTGATATGTTAAAAAGATTAGCCAAAGGTATGCTAAGTTCCTCTTTGCATTCCTTTAACACCCTTGCAAACAGTTCATCAGGACCTGGGGATTTGTTAGGTTTTAGTTTCTCTGTTTGTCTGAGGACCATGTCACTAGTTACCACA